GACGTCAAGATGATCAAATTTAGTCAAAAGATGATCACAAATCAATTTCCAACCGAAAAGTTATGCTCCGGTGTTTTAGTCTCATATTGAGATCTATTTTTGGCATAGAAAGTGATCGAAATGGAGAATGATGTCTGAATCAAAGTTTTAGCCAGATGAGTTAGCTTTCCAACGCATTTTGAATCGTCTCAATCGGATATCGGAATACAAAGTTATGATAAAAATAATGAAGGAATGTGCAACTGTCTGTTTAAAACAAGAAATTCCGTTACATAGTCCGTTAAAACAACAAATTCTGTTAGTTTTTCCGTTAAAACAAGAAATTTCGTTACATAGCCACTTTTAATATATAGAAGATGTATATATAGAATTGCGTAGTTCAAATTTAATTATGGAATCGAATCAGAATCCAGCCATCTGATATGTAAACTGTTTGCAGATTACTCTCACCGTCACAAGATTTCTGCCTAAAATAAAATGTGCAGTATCTAGTCGTAGACCTCCTGTCTGTTTGTCAGTTTCATATTAGTTCTTACAAAATAACAAACATAGTCCAAATTTAAAAATACAAATAACAAGTTGTTTAATAAAATACATTCACCAATGTATTCAAATGACCGAAAAGTAAATAATTACACAAAAACATAGGCAAAATTCATTTCCATTCCCATTGGTTCCTTCGCTTCAAGCTTTCAAATCTACATTTAAAAAAAAAAAAATGAAATATAAATTAAAGTAATAGAAAAAAATATTATTTTTTGGGTATTACTAGTACTCGTTGTGATAAATTGAAGCGGCCAACCTCAAGAAGGGAAATGGCAAATGTACAGTCAAGTTGTACATTAATTTACACAATCCCCACACATGGGATGGGGCCTACAAAAATGTGGGCCCCACCCCATGTGTGTAAACTGTGTAAATGACTGTACAATTTGACTGTAAATGTGGCAGTGTCCAAGAATGGCCTTTAATGAGGTTGATTTCCTCATTGCTGGAGAGATTCCATTCGTGATGGCTGAACTTGCACAAGGGGTTGGGAACGTCGTCCTGGGTCCCCTTTCGGTGTAAGGAAGAGTGATTTTAGGAAGGTGTAATGAATTAAAAGAATATTTAAAGAGTGTAGTATATATGGAACGTTCTTACATCTACCTCTACTTTAAAGATTCCTTGTATTTGATTCACCAGTTCTGCTACACGAACAGATTCAATGACAAGAATTTATACACACATATACTTGGCATTATCTCATTGATAGTTAAAAAAAAAGTTAAAGAAAAAACTGTCAATCAAAACTTGACACTTCATTCCCTGGATAATGCTCCCGTCAGCGACCCTGTTTGTTCAGCTTTACTCTTGATTCAATTGTTGGTGACATGTGTCGGGTTATTTTATGTGAGATACGCGTCCATAGGCTTTCTTGAATATTCGGAACGAGTGAGGGAAGCAGGAAAATGAATTGTTCAGTTAGTCAGGGATAAGAAACGCGGTTCACTCGTCATAGCCCCCATTCTCTTCAACGACAGTCGCTGATCGGCTTTGAACTCAGAAGAGTCCGCCCACTTTCTCAGAAATTGATCACCATATGATGTTGGTGACTTTAATGTGGTTTGATGATGGCCTGTCCACATTTTATTAGTTCGGACGACAATTTCATACAGAAACAAAACATTAAGGAGCAAATAGTTTCTGTTTGACCATCAATTATTTTAAAATTTTTTAATTGATACTCATTTTTAATTATACATTACATACTAAAATATTTTTCACGTAAATTTTATTATTATTTTTATTTTTTAACCATATATTCTTCAAAAAAATTATCATTCAAAACTTCATTTTCTCAAAATAACGGCCATCAAACATGGGCTAATTATTTATCAACGTTTTAAAAACCGAACTAGCCCGGCCGATTCAACCGGAAAAATCGGGAATCAGGACCAAAATCGATCGATTAAACTTATAAAATCTTTAATTAAAAACTCATCTCAAAATCTATTAAACCGGTCGATTTTTGAAAAAGTTGCGACCCGTTCCAGGTTTAACCTGTTCAATTTATATAAATGTATATATTTTTTAAATTTTTAGATGTATATATATTTTTAAAATTTTCATAAATGTATACTTTTAATTTTTTTTCAAAATCACCGGTTCAATTTCAATTCGACTCTAATTCAACCTTTTAACTTTTGGCAATTTCTCTTTTTTGGATCGATAACTGAGTTGATTTTAAAATATTGCTAATTGTAGAATTGGAGAAACAAAAAGTCAAAAAGTCATTCTCTTCTTTATGATACTCTCAAACAAGGAAGGAATCCCATACGAGACTTCTTCCAAAAAATTTGTATTTTCATTTTTCAATTCAAAGGGATATTAGCACAAACATCCATATGTTTGAAGGTCATTGCGCGAAACGTCCACACATCATTTTTTTTATATTTCCATCAATATTTTCACATTTTATTACGAAAATCATCATTTTCTCAATAAAAATATGTGAACTAACAAATACACCCTCTTATTTAAATAAAACAAAAATATAAAATTAATTGCATTCATAGTCCCAAAATTTTCAAAAAATTACAAATGATCCCAAAATTTGAAATGGTAAAATGTCATTCAGAGTGTTAAGTGTTAACAATTAAGCCCTGTTTGAGTTACATTATTTTTTTCATTTTCATTATTCTACTCATTTTCAACCACATATTCTTCAATAAAATAATATTTTTCATCACATCAATAATTTTTCCTTCTTTTTCAACTACATATTTCTCATCACATCAACAATAAAAATACATTCTTTTTCAAAAAACATGCACCAAACATGGGCTTAGAGCTTGTTTGGTAGGGATTTTTTGGGAGAAGAATTAATTTTGAATAGTGATGTGATGGGAAATGTGTGGTTGAAAAAGAAGAAAAAATTATTGATGCGATGAAAAATATTATTTTATTAAAAAATTTATAGTTGAAAATGAAAATTGATTTACTGTAAAAAATGAGAATCCCTGCCAAACAGCCTTTTAATAAAAGCTATCAGTTGAGATATCTGATTCCAAATTTGCAATCCTTGTTTTGCTTGTCTAACCTTCTTTTAATTAAATGCTGACAGATGGGTTTCAAATTTTCAGAAAGAATTTGTCTGGTATGCTTTGCATTGGGAATTTGAAAAATCTTCAAATTATGGGTGTGGAGTGGGGTGATCTTTATTTTATTAGTTTTGATTTTTAATTATTCATTTGTAATTTTTTGAAAAATATGGGATTATGATTGTAATTAGTTCTTCATTTTTTTATGTAAATATGAGGTTATATTTGTCATTTCACATATTTTTATTGAAAAAATGGATGTAAATGATGATTTCCGTAGTAAAAGGTGAAAGTGTAAAGGAAAAAAAAAATGAAAAATGAAAGATAGAAACATTTTGCACGGAATTCCACATTCAAACGTATAGACATTTTGGGTTAAGAACCCAATTCAAACTTTGACACACGTACACAATTAGAAAAAGGATAGGACTCGACCCGGTTTTCAGTAAAGCAGATGCCTTGTGGGGTCCTCACCCCAAAATTAAATTTTGCAATTAAAGGCTGTTAAAAAAAGTCAACTATGCGCTATGACGCCAACCTAATCGATTATCTAATGCAACGGCTCCATTACTATTTTTTGACTTTTTGCAACCAATAATTCATATTATTTTCCACCACCAGTTCACCAGTTAACCCATTCTCACCGCACAAATAAAATAAGAACAATGCTGGTTGGTCAATGCATCTTCAAAGTTTCTCTCTCTTAAATTTCCACGTGGAGTGATATAATTGGATTCATATTTAGAAGTCAAAAGCGGACATTATCGAGAGTTGAGAACAGCTTTTGTTTGACTCTCTTTGCCTATTTTATAACCTTTGCCCATTTTCAAGTTTCAATTCTCTGTACTTTTCTTCTACAAATCTCTCTCTCCCAAGTAAAATTCGAACTCTTCTAATTTCTTTTTCTGGTTTTTGTTAATTGTTGAATGATCTTGTGAAGATGGCTGTAGAGTTAATGCCGGGCTACAGGTTTACGTCGAAAACCGAAGAGAACGCAGCCCAAGAAGCGGCGGCGGCCGGATTTCAGAGCGTCGAGAAGCTAATCAGGTTGCTTGCTCAACAAAATTTTCAAACAACATCATCTTCAAAACCTATGGATGTAATTAGAAACGCCGACTGCCAGGCGGTGGCGGACGTGGCGGTGAACAAATTCAGAAAGTTTATTGCTTTGCTAGACCGCAATCGGACCGGCCACGCACGATTTCGCCGTGGCCCAGTTAATAATCATCAACTGAAACCCGAGCCACGGTCCGAACAACTCGGCCCTAATCAAACCCAGAAATCTATGGTGCATCAGAATGTCTCGGAGGAAAAGGGAAGGGAAAATTCTAATGGAAAAATTTATCGACCGACGCCGATTCAGAAGCTGCCTCCTCTGCCGCCGGTTAAAAACGGGTCAATCGAGAGAAAAGAGTCGTCGACAACAATAAGTTTTGCTTCACCAGCGAGTTCTTTTATCTCGTCGTTGACTGGTGATACTGAGAGTCTTCAGCCTTCTATGTCTTCAGGGTTTCAGATCAACCTCTCTCAGGTATCTTCTGCCGGCCGTCCGCCGCTATCGACGTCATCGTTTAAGAGGAAGTGTAGTTCAATGGATGACGGAAGCACCAAGTGCGGTGGTGGGTCTTCTGCAGATCGTTGCCATTGTCCCAAGAAAAGGTAAAATTTCAAACCTTTATAGAAATTATATGCAAAAAATGAGTTTTAGGATCATAATAAAGTTTTTATTCATTTATTGATCTTTTGATATTTGATTTGAATTAGGAAAACAAAGGTTAAGAGAGTTGTTAGAATGGCAGCTATAAGCATGAAGATGGCTGATATTCCACCTGATGAGTATTCTTGGAGGAAGTATGGTCAAAAGCCCATCAAAGGTTCTCCACATCCTAGGTGAGTTCTGTGACTCAGTCATTGAATGACTCGTTTTATGATTGAGTTGACTCAATAAAGAAATACTAGTTTAATTATAAGCTGATTATTGCTTATAAATTGTTCGATTTCAGGGGATATTACAGGTGCAGTAGCGTAAGAGGGTGCACGGCCCGTAAACATGTGGAGCGGGCTTTGGACGATCCAACGATGCTAATTGTGACCTACGAAGATGAACACAATCATGCCCAGTCTAATTCAGAAGCACCAGCAGCTATAATTCTTGAATCTTCTTGATCTGATCAAAAAGTCGCACAATCTGACGGCCAATGTTTGAGACGAAAAGTCTAAATATCGACCGTAGAAGGCGTGGAAAAAGGGGGTCCAAATGGTCAACGTTTTTATTCTCCTTTAATCAAATGGGGTCCATTTGTTTATTATTGTGAGGAAATTGTGGGAGTCGAATCATATGCCAGTTGTGGACTTTTGTTTTTGCCTCCTCAGATTGTCAAATCTTCATACATAATTTATGTCAATTACCATTTATTCTTCATATATTTTTATTTGATTTTGATGAAACGTTAGTTGAATATAGGAGAAAAAAAAAAAAAAAAGAGTAAAAATTGGTTCTAATCAACATGGTGGTGGGCACAGTTGACAATTTGGACTTTTTGAGCAACATGTTAGTATTAAAATATGTATTCAACTTTTGCGATTCCTTATTTTTGTATTTAGAATAATCGAACGATCTGAATTGAAATCAACAATAATATTTGTTGAGAATAAAATCCGATTCGAAGACTTTCGTAAATTTAATATTGAGGAGACATCACCGTAAATCGCGCAGGTGGATATAAAAGTATTTCATTATGACTCAATAATTTCTATAGGAATCTTTGAGATAATATTTTATTTCATACACTTGCATTATTAAATTTTTGTAGTGACCTTGACTTTATTAGTGTGTATAGATGATGTTTTAGCTGTATTTCATATCTCGAGATTAAGATAATATATTTCTCAATTGGCTCTTCTTCTTGTTTCTTTCAATTTCTAGTCTAGTCAAAAAGAGAAATAATAAAATAAGAATTATTCTTTGAAAGTTATGGTATCCTATGTTAAAGATATCAGGGAATTTCGTGGAATTGTCCCATAAGTTGCTTAACGCTCCTATTTTACTTTAAGGTCAACTACATCTCGAATCTTTACAACCATAAAACTTGCTAGCATGAACATAATGTACAGTAGCATATTTATATGTGGTGTAATTAGGGGTGCCAATGGATAGGGTTGAGTCATGAGCTCAAGACGAGTTGACTAGATGAGCCCACGATTCGAGTTCTCTCGGCTCGTAAATGTTTTTGAAGCACAGTTGCTCGACTTATATCTTGTCTTAATGCGAGCCGAGAGTGATGAGCCAGCGAGCAACTCAGATCATAAGCTACTCCTAGTTGTAATTAGTTGTAACTTTACGTGGTCTGGTTGGAAGATCTATATCGATGTTTTTCAAAAGAAACTCTACACACTATGACTTGTACAAGGGTTCTACCATATTACAATTGATGACAAAAGACTAATCCTCACTAGCATAGTATATAAGTTCTCAATCTAATACTGAATCACGGCGAGCTCCATCACAAGAAACTCTTCATGCATTATGAATCGTACAAAGGTTGTTTCAAATTACAAATTGATCACAAAAAACTAGATCCTTGCTAGCATAATACACAAGGTCTCAATTAAATATCATACTGATATGAAAACTTGGTCAAGAAAGTTAAAAGGCAACAAGCAAAAAATATTACGTCCAATGGTTACTAGATGGCCATTTATAAACTAGAAGAGCCGGCCATGACTTCACATTCTTCAAGCCTTTAAAGAAAAAATCAGAATTTATAAAAGATGTACAACTCCATTATACACATAAGGCCAAATGCTCGAATAGACACAAATGACAATGTTTTGTTGAAACCATTAAATCTCCTCATCACTAACTCTCTTATTAGTCGAAGCTCCAATTCACATACCATTACTTGACTTCAGTTGAATTTGAGAGAGAAAATAAGACAATACAAAGAGAATAGAATTGTATTGAATGGTGTAATTTGTTTACAAGAGAGGCATCCTATTTATAGTTTAACTTGATAGGAATGTTTTACTTTCTAAGTAATGTGAGACTAATTAACATGTATATTGTGTATATATGTATATACATTAACAGCCCCCCTCAAACTCAAGGAGGTAAAATGGAGACCAACTTGAGTTTGGAAACTAAATCCTGAAGGCGTCCAGGAGGATGTGTTTTAGTGAAGATATCAGCAGTTTGATCGGCTGAAGAAACTGATAATAGTCCAATAGTCCCACGGGTGAGATGATGACGTATAAAGTGACAATCAATCTCAATGTGTTTTGTGCGTTCATGAAATACATCATTGTGAGCAATTTGGATAGCACTTTGATTATCGCAGCTTATGATAGTGGAAGTAGAATGAGTGACGCCCATGTCTTCAAGTAACCAGCGAAGCCAAAGAAGTTCCTGAGTTGTATCAGCAAGGGCTCGATACTCAGCCTCTGTACTGGATCGAGCGACTACTGTTTGCTTCTTGCTGCGCTAAGAAATAAGAGAATCACCAAGGAAGAAGCAATAACCAGTGGTGGATCTACGATCAGTGGGGTTACCTGCCCAATCTGCATCTGAGTAGGCGCGAAGCTCAAGTGAAGATTGGGATGAGAAATGGAGACCATAAAATAGGGTCCCTTTGATATACCTGAGAATCCGAAGTACTGCGGCATAATGGGATGTGCGAGGAGCAGAGAGAAATTGACTGACAATATGGACAGCATAAGAGATGTCAGGGCGAGTAACTGTAAGATAAACAAGACTACCGACCAACTGGCGAAACAAGGTGGGGTCATCCAAAGGTGTACCATCCATAGGAGTGAGTTTAGAGTTGAGCTCTAGAGGAGTAGTACATGTCTTACTATCTGTGAGTCCCGCTCGAGTAAGAAGATCAGAAGCATACTTTGCTTGCGAAAGATAATATCCCTCAGAGTTAGAAGTGATCTCAAGTCCCAAAAAGTAACTAAGCTTTCCAAGATCTTTCATCTCGACATGTTGGCTAAGATAAGTCTTGAGATCCAAAATTCCGGATGTGTCATCACCAGTGATGATCATATCATCAACATAGAGGAGAAGAAGGATAGTACCCTGGTCTGTTTTGCGAATGAAAAGAGCAGAATCATGTGAGCTGGAAGTGAACCCAAAATCTCCAACAATGGTGCTGAACTTGGCAAACCAAGCCCGAGGAGCTTGCTTGAGACCATATAGAGCCCGACGAAGTTTGCAGACTTGATGCGGAAGATGATGAGAACCAGGAGGAGGGCACATATAAACTTCTTCGGTGAGTTCACCATTAAGAAAGGCATTTTTCACATCCATCTGAAACAATTCCCAACGACGAACGGCGGCAACTGCAATTAGGCTGCGAACTGAAGTAAGGCGAGCAACCGGGGCAAAGGTCTCCTCATAGTCAATCCCATACTCCTGGGTAAACCCTTTAGCTACCAAGCGAGCTTTGTACCGATCAATGGACCCATCAGAGTGAGTTTTGATCTTGTAGACCCACTTGCATCCCATAGCATGTTTGCCCTTTGGTAGATCCACTAGATCCCAGGTATGAGTGTTTTCGAGTGCCTGTAGTTCATCATTCATTGCTTTCTGCCAAAGAGGATCAGAACTAGCTTCACGATAAGACTGAGGTTCATGGTGAGAAAGAATAGTAGAAAATACAACAAAGTCACGAAGATTAACAGAAGGAATTTTTACCCTGTCACTTCGTCGAGTAGGGAGATCAGAAGCTGTTGGAGCGGATCCATCGGAAGAGACAAGTTCTTCAGAAGAGGGTAAGGTGGATAACTCAATTGAGGGATCTGTAGACATATCAGTTTGTAATGACATATCTGAGAGAGAGAGAGAGAGAGAGAGAGAGAGGATGTGTTGATGGAGATGTTGACTCAGAGGAAGAGTTTGTCTCAGGAGTGTCAGGAAAAAGATCTGTGGAGAGATCAGTGAATAGGAGAGAGGTGTTGTCATGCGGCAGGTGAAACTTGGATATGGAGGCGAACATCTTGTGTTCCCAGAAAACAACATGACGAGATACTCGGAGACGTTTGGAGTAAGGATCCCAACATCTGTAGCCTTTGTGTTCAATACCGTATCCTAAGAAACAACATAATCGAGATCTAGATTCCAATTTGGTGCGTTCATGAGGCTGAAGAAGAACAAAACAGGCACAACCAAATACCTTAAGAGTGTTATAGTCAGGAGGGTGACCATAAAGACGTTCAAATGGTGATTGATTCCCAGTGATGGGAGAAGGCACACGGTTCTTGGTATAAACAGCTGTAAGAGCAGCTTCACCCCAAAAGCGTTCAGGACATGAAGCGGATATGAGAAGAGCACGGACGGTATTGAGAATGTCTCGATGTTTGCGTTCAGCACGCCCATTTTGTTGAGAAGTGCCTGGACATGAACGATGAGGAAGGGTGCCATGTTGGTGAAGAAAGTTAAGGACTTTGTAGTCTGTGTATTCAGCAGCATTGTCAGCACGAAACACTTTGATATTGCAAGAAAATTGAGTTTTGACCATGGTAGCAAAATCAAAGTACAACTGAGGTAATTCAGATCGATTGCGCATAAGAAATATCCAAGTGTAACGAGAGTAATCATCAACAAAAATGACAAAATATCTAGAGTCTCCCATTGAGGGAGTAGGAGACGGGCCCCAAACATCAGAGTGAATCAAATCAAATTGTGCAGAAGAAAATGAATCACTTTTGTAAAATGGCAATGCCGATTGTTTTGCAAGTTGACAAGGAAGACAATCAAATTGTTCTTTAGTAACAAGTCCTAAATGACCACTAGATGCTAAAGATTGAAGACGACTAACAGAAGTGTGACCCAGACGAGAATGCCAGAGACTGATGGATGGGGTAGATGAGACTGGAGCTGCTGTTTGAACTGATGAGGAGAAACGGGATGGAAGGTGAAGATTGATGAGCTCAAAGAGTCGTCCAACCTTACGGCCCATCCCAAGAGTTTGTCCGTCTTTGGATCCCGCACACAACAACCAGAAGCAGAAAAGAGGACAGTTAGACCGAAGTCACATAATAGACCAACAAATATAAGATTGAGAGTGAGTTGAGGAATACAGCAAGTATTAGGAAAAGAAGTGTTTAATGTCGATATTTTTCCGATATGACTCACAATCATAGAAGAACCATCAGCATTTTGAATA